TATATAGAGAAACCTCAAAAAGCATACTCCAGTGACAACATCATACCCCATTCACACGGGTGGTATAAAGGTACCTTTAACATAGGTCCCTGTCGTAAAGGGAGATGGAGTTCGTAATCACACGGTGCACAAAGGTATCCCTTTCGCTAAAAAAGGGTTTTGAATAAACGGAGCTCGCAGGACTTCCCTTTACGGCTACAGGGAGTAGCATCGACCCATGAGTTCCAAATAAAAATCTAGCTCATAGGCTTCTGCTTTGTTTAGTGCATTATAATAAAAAGAATATTTGCGAGTCAAATATTATAAAGTAAACGTGAGCACTAACCTGATGGAAGACGGTAGCGACAAATTTATACTGGCGACAGTGAGCAGCAGCGTTGGCCCGACTGCAATGACGGCTGTACTTGCTTTGAGTAGCGAGTACACTTTACTTTGTGTAGCGACGACAAGTCGTCCGCTTCGCCTGCCCAGAGCATTTTTGTGACCATGACTTCGCCAGATGGACCTGTGAACTTGGGTGCCAGCACTAGCGGCACTAGTAAGAAAGGCCCTCTAGCTCACTGGTCCGAGGCGGAAACATGGTCGCTAATTCGACTCTAGGAGGACAGCATCGCGAACTCCGGCGACAAAGAAGGAACGCCGGAGTGTACGGGACGATCCGCCTCAGTCTCGAGAGGCTTTCTATTGAGAAAACCCGGAGGCAGAAGCAAAGAAGTAGCAGAGCAGACTCGGGAAAACACGGAGAGTTGTCGATCCCGTTTCGCGCCTCGTGTACCTCGACTGCCTACCTCCTTTGAATTTGGATTAGATAACACGGCGGGCAATTTGGCCACACAAGTGAGACATTCTGAAAAAAGCTGAATTTTTACTTGCACCGTGCCATAAAATCAATAAAGCAATTATTAATTCGTTTTAAAACGACCTATTCCACTTCTTATAATGTGAAGAAAGTGTCTCAAACCTGTTTAGACCAAAAATGATATATTGCTTCTTCGCCCCTCGGTTTAGCCGGGCTATCCCCGGTACAATAAACATCAACCTTAAACCCTCCTTTATTTGCCGTGTTATTCCGAACGCCTTTTGGTGCAGGGACCTAAGCTACAGGTTCTTTAGGCAGCCCGTGTGAAGGGGGTATTACAAGAGTATTATATGCAACAAGTGTATTTGCCTCCTCCTCGTAGGAAAACTATTCTTTGTGTATTTTTGCTCAATGTTTTTCACGAAGCATATGCTAAAAACGCACTCCCTCTAACTTTCCTAAGGACGCACACGGTGCTGATACCTAAAACAAAGGACAAGGTCAAATTGCGCCTGGTAAACGGATACCGTTTGATAACTTTGTGCAACTTTGATTACAAAATGTTTGCTAAAATACTAACACGGAGGCTTCAATTTGATGTTAGTGAATTAGTTGGACCCCACCAGACGTGCGGCATCGAAGGAAGGTCGATTCAGACGTATTCATGTGGCAAGGAGCATACTTGAGTGTTGTGAGGATGGAAATGGCCAAGTGTGGCCATGCTACAAATAGACTTAGAAAAAGCTTTTGATCGGGTGCGACATGATATATTACTACAAATCTTGTCCTGGGTCAACTTAGGGCAGATCATAATAGACGGGTTCAGAATGGCCTACGCTAACTGCCACACTAAGCTAATTGTAAACATAACATTGTCACGTAACATTTCCGTCCGCTCATCCGTAAGGCAAGGTTGCCCATTCTCACCTTTATTATTCGCTCTGTATCTAGAACCCTTTTGTTTGCGCGTGAACAAGTGTAACGCGTTGTGCGGGTATATATTTGGAAATGTAGAGGTTAAGAGGCTGGCGTACGCGGATGATGTGGCTATTTTTTGCCGCGATAAGAAAAGTGTTGCTAAGGCGGGGGGGGGGGGGGGGGGGGGGTGGAATTGACCAGAGACTTTTGTGATGCGACATTGCAGCATTCAACTGGGACAAATGCTGCGGTTTTTAGCACGGCTTCTGGGCCACGACGCCCTCGACTTTTGAGGGCATCAGTTGGACCTGTGTGCCAGCCAGGTACTTTGGCACGCTGCTAGGTTCGTTTCGTAACAGCAGGGTGTATTGGTCGGAAGTTGCTTCCGACCTGGGCAGGCCTGCTTCGAAAAGGAAGCACCGCGATCTGTCCACCCTCGCCTGAGCAACAGCGTGTAATGTTTTTCTCACGGCAAACCTGTGGTATGTGTTACAGGTCCTTTATTGCGATCGCATGAGTATTCAAACAATTTCACCGCGTATTTGCAACCTTTATTTGTTGTTCCGGCTGGGAGCCTATGCGCCGAGATAAACTGTTTCGTCGTGTTTCTCAAGGTGGGCGTGGGCTCTCGCGCCTCTTTGTGAGGCAACATTTATCACGTTTTATGTTCTTGCGAGATCAGGGGCATCCGCTGATACGCTGTCTTGTAACAATACTGGCGCATCACATCCCTTTGTTATTGGTTACCTGATATAGTCATGGCAAAACGAACATTGTAGGTTTTCTGAAAGAGGTCGTAGACTCCGTGCGTTTTCTAATCGTAGGATTTTCACGCGAGTACCTTTCAGGTGTTAGTAGGAAAGCACTCCTAGGGGATCTTGTTGAATGTCTCTTTCCGCTACCACTCTATAGAAGCGTGTACCAGAATTTTAATAATGGAAATGTTCTTGTGCGCGTAAAGAAAATGAGCGTGCCCGCCGCAGCAAAGTCTTTCTTTTTCAAACTGCTCAGCGCCGCCCTTCCCGTCAAAGAGTGGCTCAAAGAAAAGGAAGCTCGCACCGTAGGTAATGGATTGCTTACTTTGAAAAAAAGCCAGAAAATGTAGAGCATGTATTCATTTTTTCCTGGTATGCGTTATTTTTCTGAGACATTCTCCAGCGTACATTGAAAAAGAAACTTTTTAATAGCCCACGTACGATACGGTTTTTGATTGTGGAAGCGAGTGATGAGGTCCCTTACGACATGTTTATGTTACTTGGGTTATTCAGCCTTTGGAAAACGTGAATGTCTGTCCGGTCACGCGGATTTAGATCCAAAATAAGTGCCTGTGAATTTTCGTATACTTGTGCAACAAGTTTAAGGTGTGTATCAAGCGTCTGAAAATGTACCTGAAAGGTGTAGTACTTTTGAACCTCTCCTCCAAATGAAAGGATTTGAGTTATCGGCCACATGGTGGCTGTTTTATCGAGTGACTGAGAGCACTGCAAAGTGAGTAACCTTGTCTCACTTCTTACGCAGTAAAAAAAAAAAAAAAAAAAACTTTTCGTATAGGACTAAGCAAAGGCGTGGGTGCGAGGTTCAATTCCCGCTGCGCCGCTTGGTAAATCTCCGGAATTACAAAAGGAACTGTGTTTTATTATGATTACTTTACATATTATTAATAATAAGTATGCCTTCTGTGCTTTTCGTGCTGGTGCATTGCCTGCTGCGGGCTATGTATGCTTTATGTTGCCATGTCCTACGTGTAACGCTTTTTCGTTACATTCGAGCGTCACGGTTCTCAAATGAAATCCAGCTCGTGAAAGCACAATCTGTTACAAAAAAAAACATATTTTTTTTAAGGTTATAGAAAGCAATGTTCCAGGCCATAGACACATTTCGAGCACATGCTTCTGGGAAAAAAAAACTCATAACGTGAATAATGTTTTGTCACAGGTGTACTACATTGTATAAGGAGCGATCTTTTATAGCTTTTTATCTCTTACCGTTTGGTCATCGCACTCGAAATGGGCAGGTTTTAGCTTAATCCGTTTTTATTTCGGAGCTTGCGGTGAATTTTTCTGTCGCCTGTTATCTGTCAAAGGTGCCGTGACGTCCGCTTTCACATCTCCGAGGGTGGTGTTGTTGCGAGTTAGTTAGAAGACGAGCAGAGATCACCTGACACCGCCGATGACGTCAGGCTCGCTAGTTTTTCTTTATCCTCTCTACCTGCACTGCGCTCAGAGGGCGAAATTTAATTTCTTCAGTTCAGTCGCTTCAACTAATAACCGCGAGGAAAAAAGAAACACTCCACGGATATTGTTTTTAAGGCGTCTCACATAACATTTCACAGCTCTTTCAAAGTCGAAAAGCGCTACAGCTTTCCTTTAAATGGCCATAAAAGAGCGTTCGTACTAATCAGAAACGACAAATACTTTTCCAACGTTCACTCCTGGACGTTGGAATCAACAATTCCAACGCGAAAAAGAACATGGGGACTCACACCAACGCCGACAACATCGCCTTCCAATGGTTTGTTTATGAGCGACGGCAGGCTTCCTGCCCACATACCATCGCGCATCCGCGGAGCCGGTGGCGCCCGCTAGGGGCGCTCCGGTTTGTTTGTAAACATGAGATGGTCTATATATAACCGAACAATGGGACAACTCCCTCCCCCCAACCTGATGTAATTATTAGCTAATGCTTATTTTTTAGGAGTGTGCGAATAGATCTTTATATAATACGAATCGCATGAATAGCTAGCTTCGAATATAGAATCGAATATCGAATAGTCAAAGGTAAGGGCGCTTAGTCGCTACTTCTTGCTGTGTTTTCTTTTTTTTTCACATATTGAATATATTAGATTTGCAATAACGAGAGAATAAAAAGGTATTTCGAACTCGCGTCCTCTTTTCTGGCAGGGGTTCGGTACGGCGTACTAAAGTTCGTCGGCGTTGGTTGATCTTTTCCTGGCATACCGGCAGTGATCCCTCGCCATATTTTCATAAATCCTGGATGCAGTTTCCGATGAGTGATTGACAAAGGGTACTGTGGTACCTGCCAGTGTTCGAAGCGTTGGGTCGCATATGTCGTGCATTGCGCCATTGATGCCGTGTGTCATCCTTGCAGAGTATTTTTAAAAGGCGCGCCTCCCTCTTTGTTTTGGCGTTGTCTCCCCTTCATTTCTTTGTTTCGCAGACGGCGTATCGTAATCGTTTCCGCCCGCATTAGTACGGGTGGTCGAAGTAGCATAACACCCGATGCCTGATGCTATATAGTAACGTATGTTGAATCACGGTTATAGGTAATCAGGAAGGAACGATATATAGCTGCGTATTACCGCTACCGCATCGCCGATTGGACGTTCTGGGCGCGAAGCTTAGGACGTCCAATCATCGAGGCGGTAGCGGTTTCGAATAGCTTCGTTATTCGAAACCGTAAGCAAAACTAATGCTCTCGAATGTGTTCTCGAATACTCTTCTGTTTGTTTTGAATAATCGTATCATTTCGAATATTCAAAAAATACTGCAGATCTAGTTTACGAATGGTATACAAACAATTATTTTATAAGATTCGACTCGTATTCGAAATTTCGAACATCCGCCCACTCCTACATTTTTTGTTATATCCGTAATAAACGCCGGGATTCGCTTCCAAACCGGGCCCTTTCTTTGGCCTCCACGTATACGTTGGAGGTCTTAACTGGGCAACGATGAGACGTCGTTTACAACCCAGGCGCGTGGCAGCAATGCAGCACCTTTGTCTCATGTCGAAAAGAATTTATGTTTGTTTTCGCTGGCCAAGGTCGCACGTGCCCGCGCGTGGCCCGATGAGCCGCTTTCGAACAGCCAGCAAGAGCTCTATAAAAAGAGATACGGGCCGCGTGTAAGGAAGGAGTCTCGTTCAAAAGACGTTCGTCCGAGCAAGCTCGCCACAAGAGGTGAGTGGCCAAACTTCCACCGACACGGTATCCTACCTTCGTACGCTGCAAGTACCGCTAATCTCTGCGATCAGTGGAATGGTGGCGCCTTTATCCAGTGCCTTCTTTTATTTGGGATAAGTGCCTTAAAAATAAGTAAATAAATAAATATGCATTTGTTGGGAAGACGAAATGAACCAATGACCACCCGAATTATGCCATGGACAAAGAACATTGAAGGGTGAAAAGCTGAACGCCGAATTTCAAGATTTCGAGAAAAGAAAAATTTTAAGACGAAAGAAAATAAAAACAATCAAAACGGTTGTTATTTTTTCTTCGTCTTAACGTAGTTAAAAGGGTAGTGCAACGATTTTAGTGTCGAAAAAATTGGCAATTTCTATTTTTTATATTGTTTATCCAAACACAAGTGACCCAAAACGCGTCACCTCGCCCCGAAAAACTGCTATTCCGGTGCGTAATCGGAAAGAAGAAAACGAAATATTTGCCGATCTGCAGTCGCTTGTGGTGGTTAAAGGAACTGATCTGTGACGTACTCTGGGGGATACGCGGAAGTGAACAAAACCTGTCCCCCTCCCCTGCTACACTCGCCGTCACCCCCGTGGCAAACCGTCTTTTGTGTCGATCGCTCGCCGCGGCCTTTGACGGTGCTAATCCTTTAAAAGTTGATAATCGCGGATAATCGTTGCACCACCCCTTTAATTTTCTTCGTCTTAACTTAATGTAGCGAATAACAAAAACAAAGGAAGGCAGTTGTTTTTTACCGCTCACATCAAGAGTTTTGTGATAGAAACAAAAGCGAGAGCGTGACATTAGAATCCGTTGTTTTTGCGTAAATTTTCGTGCAAACAAAGTGTTGAGGAGCTAATCTCGAACGCTCGTGCTTTCAATCGACGCTTTTTTTTTTTTTTCTCTGTTGCTATTTATTTTTTTTTTTTTTAGGTTGCGTTTTATTTTTATTTGTGATGCCGCTGCAGTGCTGGGTCCTCATCCCCTGCCCTGCCCGTTTCGATCTGGATGAGCATCGTACTGGCCGGCATACGGTCATATATCACTACTGCGTGATGCACGTTAAAGACTCCGTGTTGGCAGTCGTGCTTCACTGGCCAAATTTCTCATCTACAGTGCAATGTCGCATACTCTGGCAGACTATAAACTCACGCTGTCTAAGCAACTAACGACTAAATTGTTTGTTTGTGCTGGATACTCGTTATTCCTCAGCACAATGATCTACTCGTGTGTATCTGAAGCGAGGGTGAACGAACATGTGCAAAAAAAAAAAAAACAGGTTCGTCTAGAAAAAAAATAAACATGTCTAGATCATTTTGACAAACTTGGGGAGCACAGAATGAGCAGCTTGTGCATTATGCGTGCGCCCTGATTTGTTGGTTACGGGAAGCTTTGGGTGGTTTCCGATGCGTTGCACGCATGCCACAGTCATATGCTTCCGGGGTTTATCAGTATGATCGAGACAACTGTAAATTTATTCAGAGTCCTAGACATTATGAGATTACGCGAAAACGCTTCGCATTTAGGAGCCAGCCGCTCGCGCCGACGGCCGCCGGCTTACGCAGGCTCCCGCTGGACTCCTACTTTATCCAGCTGCTTGCGTTTCCGTTCGCATCCTCATTGTGACACTAAATGAAGGCGTCGGGCTGCGGATCTTACGAGTCGACAGGTTACGTCAAAACATTGCACAAGGACAGCGGACGGTGTGTGTGTTCATCATTATTTTGATGATCGATTTTGGATTTTAAAAATGGAGAATGCATCAATTTAATTTTTATTTTTCAAACTTCGTAAGGGTAAATACTTCTTGGAAATGCGTCCTTGTGCTCCGCATTACCCAGGTTTTGCAAAATTCTGGTCTCCAGGCTGCCTGTATGTATACAGGTTTTTTTTTTGTTTTTTTTTTTTTTTTTCTTTCCACTTAACAAATTTGTTAAAAAGAAAAAAAAAAGCCGTGAAAGTTACATTTATGCGGTTTGTGCAGGTGAGTTATGCGGCCAGGGGAACATAGTGTAGGGGGCTAATCGTAACGATCAGTCTGCTAATCAATTGAAGTTTGTTAATTAACTTTTTAATTAGTAAAAATAGACATATTGTTCCAATTAGAAACTTAGATAGCGTCATCGAAAACCACTAAATGAACTTTTTTTAGAAGGATATAACGCAGGGGCTTGTATTACGGCGTTCCGTAAAAACGCTCAATTTGGACGCGTTTCTAGGTTTCGATTTCTTATCGGAGCGCATCTATCCGCCCGCGGTCCTGCGCCCTAGTGGCTGAGACGCGCAACACACGTGCGCCCAACTTCCTTCCATGCTACGAGGTAGGCGAGGGGGTGGCTCCGCGCCGCGACCACCAAGGGGCAGGACCGCGGGCGCAATGATGTGCTCTATGCGCTCCAGTAAAAAAGCGAAACCTAGAAACGCGTCCAAATTTAGCACTTTTTTAGAAGGCCGTAAAATGCTGCCCCTGCTTTAAGTCCTCCTAAAAGGAGTTGATTTAGGCGTTTGCGATGACGCTCAGCAAGTTTCTAATTGGAACAATATGTCTATTTTCATTAATTAAAAAGTTAATTACTAAGTTTAATTGATTATCCGGCTGATCGTTACGATTAGCCCCCTATACTATGTCCCCCTGGCCGCATAACTCATTTGTACAAATTAACCGCATAGATAAATGTAACTTCCACAACTTTCTTAAAACTAATATGTTATTAAAAAAAAAAAAAAAACACCCGGTACATGTTTAGTGTTTTTCTGAGCGCGACCCAACAACATTAAAACATAATATATTCTTCTCTTACATTTTGACGCTGTGCGGCTTTGATTACAGGATTCTCAGCAATCATCATAACAGGAGCTAAAGTGGCGACGACATGCAGCCAGAGGAAGCGTTGCGACAGGCCGGCGACTTCGGCCTGTTCCAGTACCTGCTCATTACGTACCTGTGCGTTCTCGTTGCCCCCGTGCGCGTGATGCCCCTCTTCGCGCACATCTTCAGTTTCCTGGTGCCCCCTCACCGCTGCAAGGTTCCCCTGCACCTGTACGAGGGCCTCAACGTCTCTGGGGAGGCCCTCCTTGGCGTGGCCCTTCCCCGAGAATCGGACGGAAGCTTGAGCCAGTGCAGGATGTACGACGTGAACGCCACGCTGCTCCGCTGGCTTCAGGCTGGCACTGGTGCATCAGTGAACTTTTCGGCGACTGCGCCGTCCGTTGACCTCGAAACGACGTCGTGTCAGTTCGGCTGGGAGTACGACTTCTCGCTCATCTATCCAAGCGTCGTCTCTGAGGTAAGTCGATTAGTGAGACAAATAATATGATGAAGATATATTCTCAAAAGGAAAAATAAGCAAAGCAGATGATTAAATGCTGCTAGGTACTTAAAAAAAGTATCGAATGCAACTCTGAAGCCGGAAGATTACTACTGAATGAATGGTGAGATCAGGAAGGGGTGGTTCCATTCGGAAATAAATATCTGAAACGAAAAGTATTTCGAAAGCCTTGCTCTTGGTGTAACCAAATTAATTTTTTTTTTTTTAATTATTTGTGCTTGGATAAGTTCGGGCAATCCGACCGGCTGTACAGCCTACAGCCGGGTTCTCTTCGATGAACAGGGGTAGAGTCATGGTAGCGATACCACACTTTGGAGATTTTCCTATTTGCCAGAAGTGGAAGAAGTTATTTCTTTACTGCAGTGATGCTTGTGGGTGTGTAGTTCAAGGAAAAGTGAAAGACGTTTACAACTCCTTGTAACGCCGAATTAGAGCGCAGCTCTTGAGGAGGAGGAGGGGGGTATGGAGAGGAGGTATGCGTCTTTTCCTCCTCCTGGTCTCCTCGTCCCCCTCCCCTCCTCATCCACCCTCCTTCCTCCTCTCATTCTCCTCCCCTCCTCTTCCCCATCGTCCTTGCCCTCCCTGCGTCCCCCTCGTGACGTCACTTGTGACCCTCGTGACGTAACTCGTGAAGGCTTTGTGAAGTGAAGGTCACGTGAAGGTCGTGACGTCGTGGGAAACGTCCCATGATACAACGCGCGGTTACGCCGACGCCGATGCGGTTACGCCGACGCCGATGGCGACGGCGACGGCGACGCCGCTCAAGCCGGGTACGGGCGCATAAGAGCTGCGCTCTAAAAGAAGAAGCACGTGTTGCGAATGTTTTTTGTAAATGCGGAGGTATGTGACAACACTGACAGACACAACCTTTGCTGTTACCGTGCACTCTCCCATGAAATGACCGAATGAACCTTTTCCGGTGATTATTTGAGTAGACTTGGGCGATAAAAAGTGCAACTTCCTGCTTACATACCATCATCTAACGAGGAGGCAAAGATGCAACAATTGAATATATTAAGGTGAACTTATCAAAATCGCAGGTCCCCGCGTGGCGTTTCTTGGTCAGAAAAAATTACACAATGTAATTGTGCACTGGGCACAGCGAAAACAGTGTACGCGGTTCATATATTCACTCAAACACGCACGCACGGATACAGGCGGGACCGAACTGCAATGCGTTTATTGAAAAACATTATGTTTCAGATGGACTGGGTCTGCGAGAACAGTTGGAAAGCCTACGTGGCCAACACTGTTTTCTGGGTGTCCACGGCAGTAGGAGTGCTCATCTGCGGGAATCTAAGCGACAGGTATACGGTGCTGCCGTCTGCACAACTGTAGGCTGTTATTTGCGAAAGCTTACAAACTTGTTCGGAATCTCCAGAACCAAGTTTGTCCCCTTTATTGTGTTTTTGACGCTCGCGCGACGACAAAGCCCAACAAAATGGAGGTAGAGACGATACATTATATGTCTCAGATTGCACAACTAAAACTCTTCTAGAAGCAACCGACAGCACGCGTCTCCGCGTTTTACACCCCAATGTAGAACACTTCACGACAAGTGCTAAATCGGCATTGTCACATTCACTTTTCCCCTCTTTTGCCTCCTCCCTCGCTGCTCCATACCTCTGCTGCTTTGGCTGCTCGTGCCTTTTGTTTCTTTTGCCCTACTTTCTCCTTGTCTTTCCAACCTTTAAGCGCGAAACACATGTACGACGAAACCGTCCGATCCGACGTCCGACCGCGCAATACGACGGTCGGAGGCGAGGGTTTTCAACGCTCTCCGATGCTACGAAAACCCTCTCCCCCTAAGGTCATTCCGGCAGTCCGCACGTCGGATCGGAAGGTTTCGTCGTACATGTGTTTCGCGCTTTATTCCTCATTTTCACGTGACTCTTCCTTTTCGTTTACCCGCGCAAAACAGGGAGAGTCAAGAGGGCAAAGCATGTAAATTACCACAGTTGCTTTCCAAGTCTTTGGTATTTCAGAGTTCAGGACTTCGGGACTTCCATGTGACCTGTGGCCATGACCCCCATAATAACAAAGATTGCACAAATATGAATGACGCATCGTTATTTTACCTTTTCCTTCCCTGACCATGACGCTTACCGACTGTGTTGCGAGACTTTTCTACATCTCATTTGTACCTTCCTGTCTTGACCTCTGCACCTTCGTTTTTTTTTTGTTTTTTTTTTATCTCGCATAGCAATTCTCTTTCACATAAACTTTTTGCAATTTGTCTTAAAGGCGACGTTTTGTGATCCTATGCGATTAACATTCCCGATCAGGTGACAAGACGATATATAGTCATATGGCCACTTTTGTAAACACAAGTTCTGGCCGCTACCATGCCCCTGTTCGTGTGAACAAACACATGCGATCGAGCTTTGGAAACGTCCCTTCACGTGCATGATGCATATGATCCGCATCCAAGAGGCCACCAGCCAGGCCGCCATACTGTTGACGTGTCTTGCAGAGTTTGTGCTGGCGGCTATCGTCCACCGTGTATTTTTTTTTTTTTTTTTTTTTTTTCAGAGCGCAAAAGGCAAATTGGTGCACGGGAGTACCTCCAATGATTAGGTCAATCAGGCGTTGTGTGATCTGACAAGAACAACAAGATTATTTAATTATGTGAAATGCGGTTAGTGGAAGCTGGTTGGCAGTGCGCGCATAGAAGCTGTACATCGTCGATGGTTAGGTAAAATATAACAAAACAAGGGGAAAAACATACGTTGCAAAGACGTCTTCTTGTTGTCCTTGAATTGTTGAAGAATAACTGAGGAGGGTAAAGGAGTCCTCCCGCCATGTAGCATACTGTGCTGCCTGTTCTCTGTGAGGAGGCCTCTGGTCCCGTGTCATTCATTCTTGTATAAGTCTTCTGCGTGCGCCAGATTAGAGCCGCTGTAAGTTACCTTGTTTCATACAGACGGCCACTGATGAACCGATCAGTGACGAACATACACAAAACGTTCATTTGTGACGGTCTTCGTATCTGGAATGGCTATTATAGCTGTCGTTTTACCAGAGCAGTAAAGGAAAACGAGCGAAAAACAAAATCGGAAACAAAATGTGAAGTTTGCGGACAAAATCTGCCTTTAATCTTTTTTCTTTAATATATAACATTTGATTGCAAAAGTAGTTTACCCATTGAGTTAATTACGCATATTTGTAACGTATTCATTGATGTATTCTGCATGAAAATTAGATATCCGGCTTAACTCTGGCATCTCCACGCACCTCTGGTACAGGATTGGCCGGGTCTTGGTGATTGTCGGCGTGAACCTCCTGTGCGGTGGCGCTGGACTGTACACCTTCTTCACTGAGGGCTTCCTCCATTTCGTCCTGAGCCGAGTGTTCTTGGGTCTCGTGATGCTCGCTCTCAGCATCACGCCCTTCGTGTTGGGTGAGTGATAGGAACCAAAGTGTGGGTGTCTACCCTAACTCGTGGATCGAAATCCCGCTCTGTGGTCCCCGGGACTCCTCTCGTTTCCAATATACGGATGGCTGTTCTGGTACTACTGCGTGATGCGCATGAAACGCTCAGGGTAGCAGTCGCACTGCACCATCTACATTGCCACTCCACAACATATTGAATCAATAAAAAACAACCGCATCTCCACGTGGTGAATGATGTTGATTGAGGCGAAGCTCTGGTGGTGCTTGATGCGAAGACGGTGAGCCGCAGCATGCCAAGCCTTTCGCTCGTTTTCATTCATGCCACGCTGCGGTCAAATGCTCAAATGCGTATATAACCACGTTCCATACCACATATTCTCCTTCTGACATGGATGAAAACGAACGAACGGCACGGGGAGAAATCCCGGGGATTTCTCCCCGGCACGCGCGCATCACAAGACGAAAATACGAGGCTTTTGCACATCGCAAAGCCTGACGTTTTCGTCGCAGAATGCGCGTGCCGTGGAGAAATCCCCGGGTTTTCTCCCTCGTGTGAATACCCCAGCACCACCAGACCTTCGCCCCAATCAACATCATTCACCACGTGGAGGTGCGGTTGTTTTTTTGTTGTTGTTTTTTTGCCCTAGACGAGCACGTGAGCGCGTGAGCTCACGAGCAGGAGCACGTGCACCCGACGGCGGACGGACATACGGACATGGCTAGCCCCTAAGGAGCTTCGCCCCTAAAAAAAAGTTCTAAAAGTCATACAACTTGTGAGTCTGAATCCTCAAGCTGGTGTATAATTTTGTGAGTCGTGATACCAGCTGGACAAAAGACCGGCCCAGCCAGCAGTCCACTAAATAACACTGGGCCGTCATCACGCGCAACATCATCCCGTCACCCTCACCCATGAGCTTCATTTAAACATCATCGGCATCTCGCTGTCATCGATACACTATATCATCACATCATCAGCTAGCTTCGCGTCTACCCATAAATCATTCCATCCAGAGCTCTGTGTTACTCAGATTTTTTTTTTTTTTTTTTAAAGCCGTGAAAATTACACTTATGCGGTTTGTGCAGGTGAGTTATACCTATAGTTATACGGCCAGGGGGACATAGTATTAGCGGCGAGATGTGTTGGTGGCGTCCTACTGTGGTTTCCTCTCGTGACGTCATTATCTTATGAACAACAAGTTCGACGGTGTTCATAATTAGCATGGTGGAAGCTTGAGATCATTGCGCTCTCAAAGCAACACTGCCAACACCGTCAAAATTGAAGTTCTTACATTGCTCTTATTTCTGTCGACGAGAAAACCTTTGCTGACGTCATATTCAGCATTCGGCCAATCGTGGAAGGCCGACCACAGCGACGTTTTTGATCGCGCACGTCGCCAATAGGGGCTAATCATAACGATCAGTCGGTTAATTAATTAGATTCGTTAATTAACTTTTTAATAATTGAAAATAGACATATGGTTCCAACTAGAAAACTTGCTGAGCGTCATCGAAAACCACGAAATCAATAATTTTTATAAAGCCTTTGAGCGCGTGAGAAGCCTAATAGTGCACGAAAGTTACCACTCGTGGAGCAGGTACAAGGCTAGTGGTTGCGGTAAGGCGCCCGCGCGATTTTTCCGTCTCGTCTCTTATCTAGCCCCAGCCTTGTACCTGCTCCACGAGTGGTAACTTTAGTGCACTACTACGCTTCTCACGCGCTCAAATTCTCCTGAAAATTACTGATTCAGTGGTTTTCGATGACGCTCAGCAAGTTTTTATTTGGAACCATATGTCTATTTTCAATAATTAAAAAGTTAATTCACGAATTTTAAATATATAGTCGTCTGATCCGTTACGGTCAGCCCCCTATACTATGTCCCCCTGGAAGTATAACTCACCCGCACAAACCGCATCAGTGTAACTTTCACGGCATTTTTTTAAAACAAATCGGTTAAGTTAAAAAAAAAAACCCAGTATATTTATAGGACAAATATATCAAATATATATATATCGTCCGTTGTTGCTGTTTTCACTACGGGTTTTTTCTTCTTTTATATATATATATATATATATATATATATATATATATATATATATATATATATATATATATATATATATATATATATATATATATACTAATTTTTGACGTATTTTTTGTGTCGGGAGTTTTTGGCTGTTTTGCAAGGGGCATTCGCCGATCGTCACACTAAAAGACGGCTTAAAGAAATCATTCGTTGACATTTCTGTAAGCCACGCCGAACCTGAATAATCTTTGGCGTCATGTGTCCAACCGTATAAAAATGTGTGAATAACATAACAGGCTTTCATGCTTGAAAGCGTGATACGGAATATATCTTCCAAGTTCCGACGGCATTTCTACGACTAACAGCATTGGTAACGCTCCATTTTGTCTTCGGCATGCAGTGGTGGAGTATGTGGCTCCGGAGCGGCGAATGATGGTGCTGAGCGGTTTCCAGTTCTCGTACCCGCTCGTTGGAGCTGCGTTCCCCTGGCTGGCCTACTACATCGGCGACTGGAGGACGCTAACGCTCGTCTCAGCGCTTCCCCCGCTGGCAGCACCCTTTTTCTGCTTGTAAGGGGCATGCCGCACTGCCAAATGCTTTTTCACTCTATTGGTTTGCCTACTCATCGTTCCCAGAGCCGCGGTCACAGCTGCTTAATACATGGCACAAACTACAGTCTTCAGAGACATTGACCGAGGCGTCTTACTTGTACAATGTCCTGTCACATTGTCCTACAAGGACTGACCGCAGACAATGTTCGGAGCATATAGTATACGTATGAAGTAAACATGCTTCCAACATATGTGTGTCCGCACATAATCCTGTCATACATGTCTGCGGTGCTCGTATGCTGCACGCTGTCTTTTATACTAGTATAAACCTTGCGAAAGTAACACTCTGACAGAGATTCCTCTGATTAGAGGTTTTATTAGTCCACCGTTCTTCAACCTAGGGACGTAACAGGGAGGCAGAAGCAACAAATCTGCCTATCCCTTCTGCTTCCCTGTTTTAATTACGTGGTATTGATATGTAGGCCCGCATCAAGGCACGGCCGGACTGGAAGCGCGCGCTCTCTTTCTCTTCTTACGGCCTTTGCTATCGCCCGGAAGTCAATGGCATTTTTTCTCCGTATGTAGTTCACTTGCTTGCCGCCAGGGGCGCTACCACCTCACCCCACTACACCCCACTCATAGAGTCCCTTCGAGCTGCTTTGCGTTGGTGTTCGAGCTTCGTAGGGCGTTGTTTTTGCAACGGTTCCTCAGAATACTTCTGATTAACCATGCGAAGGCGGTCACGGACAGAAACGAAAAATCAGCTGGATATGTGCACAAGCCCTCGAGAAAGCACTTTAGGCTGTAATATGCACTGTGCGAAAATTGTACAGACACACTAGTCTAGAGCAGCTGGCCGACTTCATGTGCGGCTTATGAAATGATGATGTAGACCACGGCAATAGATAGATTGGGCCTGCTTACATCTCACGAGAGTGTACGAATTATTTATCATTTAAAGTTCCTCCACGTAGAAGGGGTCCGTCTCCCCCTGTTCTTGAGTTGCAGCAGAAGTCTTGGAGGTAAATACGAGTAGAGTTTTTCCGCAATTGCATTCGTTGTCTCTACTTACTACTTTTTACTCCCGAATCTCTCGGAGATGCGCGTCAAATATTCACCGTTTTGGGCTCATCAGAAGCGCATTAGATAGTGGCTGAGGGTCTAAACGTAAGGGTCAGGTGTCAAAGGCTATAAAAATCTCGGCCGCAAGTTGCGACAGCGCTGAGATACACTGTCAGACGCGCTTTGTGAAAACGGCAAAGGGTATCCCACGGGTGAGGTGACAGCGCCCCCCGTGAATTGTGGCGGGAGGTGGCGATTGCCCCAATTGCAAAGGCCGTAAGAAGAGAAAAAGCGCGCGCTTCCAGTCCGGCCGTGATCAAGGTTGGGCAGTATCGCGATAAAAAAAAAAAAGTATCGTTATAGTATCTTAGATATACTTTCGAATATCCGTATCTTTGTATCGAGATACAATAAAAAAAAAAAGGGTATCTAAGTTGTGAAATAGATTTACAATGTATCGCTTCTATCGCGAAACTGCCAGGCTTAGGTATCTTTCTACATTTGTCATCGAAAATTATCTGTCGGGTGTTTATAGTAAACTGAAAATCACGTTTTCCGCGCGAGGGGTTCCGTGCTTTATAATATTTACCCACCCTCGGGAAGAGGAAAAGGGAGCGGGGGGAAGGGGGGTCATATGATAAATTCATATGAATTTATGAAACCTTAGTTTGAAACTGCGGAATTTGATTTCCATATCCGTGAAATTCAGACTTGGAACCTAAAATCGAAACCTACAATCTTTTTCAAACTTGTACCTCGAAAAATATGCGAAATATGCGATTTTTAGAACGAATCTTCAATAAATTCGAAATTTTCAAATTTTTTCGAACTATCTATAAAACAAAACTTGATATCTTCAAACTCGAGCTTTCAGAAACCTTAACGTTTCCGAATTTTCGATATTGAACCTCAGCGGGGTTCTAAAGTTGTGAACTTTTCCAATTCGAACCTGAGCGAAGTTCGAACATTTCGCAACCTTTCGAACTCGACCTTCGGGAGGTTCGTGGCATCCCTATTCACGGCGATGCATGGCGCACGTCGGGGCCTGACCTTTAAGGGGCACTGACACATCAAAATCATATTCTTTTATTATCCGAAACGATTGAAAACGATGCCGGAACATTACCCTCAAAATTTGAAATTTTGGAATTCAGTATTTGTGAAGTAAAAAAAAAAAACAATTTCCAAATGGCCGAATTCGAAGTTCCCGTGCTATCCGCGCCGGTGCGTTGACGTCAGATATTGTGGAGTCATGAGAGTCCACTTTCTTTCACGACTCCCTGCTGTTGCCATGGCGACCCAAAGCGATGAGGAAAGGAGCGAGCGCCCGGCGGACCGGTTTTGAGCGGTGTCGCCTGTTTTCTGTGGGAGGATACAAAACCAGGAGACGGCACCACAACGAACTTCCGATTTTTGGTATTTCAAACAGAAGGGCCGTAGTGCGTTCGCAATTGTGTTAAGAAGCATGTTTTAGGATTGCCGTTATTAAATGTTATAGAGATGCCGCCTACGAAGCTTCTAAATTTCATGATTATTGACGTCACGAATCAAAAGAAGCGAGGAGACGAAGGCGGGAGAATCAAACGCCAAAAATAAAAAGGCGCGCGCGCGCGCGCGGGAAACTTTTTTTTCGCGATGCGGTTTTTTTTTTTTTTTTTGCGTGTCTATGACTGCAACTTGCATCGTTTTAGACAATAAAAAAAAAATACGACCTTTGGGGTGTCAGTGCCCCTTTTAGTTCACTGTAGCGCAGCGCTTGTCTTGTGCATACCCCACCCCTTAGCTTCGTCTTCGTTGCATTTTTTTTTTATATGCGTTGTGTTGATTTTTTGAAAGTAGGGGAAATAAATTATGGTCGACATGACCCGGAAAAATAATGTAGTTTTACTTTCTTCTCATTTGCCCTATCATGTAGATTTGTGCCTGAGTCCCTCCGGTGGCTGGTATCTCGTGGTAAGGAAGCGCGAGCCAAGAAAATCCTCCGTTTCATTGCCAAGGTGAACGGGAAGGTGCTCTCGGACGAGTTCATGGGAAAATGTCGAGTAAGTCTAAACTGCTTCCTGCTTGGAACGGATGGCCACGTGTGACGTTTGGTGCAGTTTGCACCCGTTATACACCAGCGACAGGCCTGCGTGCCCACGGCATGGTGTCGACGCGTGCGCAAACACGAGATTCGTTTGAGGTGAAGTGTCCGCGCATGCGCAATGCCGACAGCAGCGTCCCTGCGGTGGCGTAACATGAGAACGTTGAGTTGGTGTATCCAACAGGCCTTCAGGAAGTAAAACCTCACTAGCCTGCCTTTTCTCCCTTGTATTGACGTGATGAAAATTGCATCTTGGTTAGTAGATGACTATGTTATCGCTTTATTGTCTTCGTGGTCCTTGCAGTTCCCTGCTCCAAATGAATCTCAGAAACCCAAAGATTCTCCAACGGACATGCTGAAGACACCCAACCTCCGAAAAAATTTCATTCTGACTCTTGCTGCTTGGTAAGTCTGTCGACATTGAGAATGTTACAGATCCCAACTTCAGTCACATAACAAAACTATCACATAAGTCACACAGCATAAAGTTTGCAGCCTGTGCTGAAGCGTACTTGTCTAAAGAAGAAAAACAGCCTGAGTAGAGCTCCACCACCTTTCTCAATATATGAATTGAAATAAACTTGTCCTGGTGCTTTTTTATGTTTGTTCTCGTTTTTTTCCGTTTTTTATTTTTCTATCAATCTATGGTTTTCCAGTGGACCAATCTCTCTAAGCGTTCGGCGCATGCATGAAGCCGCCATAACTTTAGTTCACAGGTGGTAGGCGACAGTGACCGAGACGACTCGTGCAGTTTCGGGTTCTGCGCGGGCAAAGCTCCAGCAAGGTTGCGCACGTGCAAAAACAGCTAAAGTTCCCTCGATGCATTGCGGTCACCGTGAACAAACCAGCTATAATTTGTATTACTTTCTCAGAATCATAGATAGATACTATTCAGCCCAATTTTGTATTGAGCACTAAGGACATTATTTCATTTAGAAAAACAAGTTATATACTGTCATCAGATTAACTCTGTTTCATGTATGGAAAGAGGAGACAAAAGCAGGATACAGACGGTACAATCACGTCTGTATCGTCCATTATGTTCCTCCTCTTTCTAAACGTTTAGAAATAACCGTTAGTACCCAGTAATGGCGACACTTGCAAGCTATGTTTAGTACTCAGAGTAATATATGCCTCACGTGAGTTGATAGTACTTCCCTCCTGACGACTGTGTGTGCCACTACCAGGATGCTGGCATGCCTAGTGTACACGGCGGGACAACTGTATGCTGCCAATGCCAGTCACAACCCGTTCCTGATGACAACTGCCGTCAACGCGGTGGACATTGTGGCTACAGCCACCGCACTGCCGCTTGCCGACCGCTGGGGAAGGAGGCCCACTATGATGACCACTTACTCGCTTGCGGCGTTTGCGTACCTCTTCGCTGTCTCGGTGCCTGCAGGTAACACACTTGAACTAGGGCCCCTCTTGACTTGAACAGTCTCCATCAAAAGACGACGCTACTGCGCATGCGGATAATGTACCCTTCTAGCCCAATAATGCCTTGCAACAGTTTATTTTGCATCGGGCCTTTTTATGGTGAACATCAGTGGGTGTCGTCACTAGGGTCAACGGCACCCAAGGCAGTGGCATAGCCTCCTCTATACGGAGAAAGCCTGGCACATCGACGACGGAGCCATAGAGCGCGCGGCCGCAGGAAAAAGGAGAGGAGGAGCGCGCCGAACGGTGACCAATATGGTAGCGCAGAGCAGAAAGGGCAGACCTTGACAGCGAGCGCTTGGGTCGTGAGCGGCCGCTCCCCGAACCACGCTTGTTTTTCTGTTTTCGTACTCCGGGAGAAACGGGCGCGGCGATTCGAAATTCGAAAGGGCGCAGGGAGAAACGGGAAAGGGTGGACACTGAGTTTCTCCTCTCCACGAGAGCGACAAGAAAAGAGAGAGAAAAAAAAAGATTGTTTCTGCGTTTGGCCGTTCGCTCTTTTGTGGCGCTAGCGGGTAAGGTTCTCTCCGCTCCCGTTTCTCCGCCCCTCCTTTCCCATTTACGGCGGCCGTCTTTTCACGCGACGCGCCAGGCTATGGCGCGTCGCGCGAACCACTGCCACTATGGCAGTGGTTCGCCGCCCCCCCCCCCCCCCCCCCTACTCTCGTTGCCTGCCGCAACATCCCCCCCCCCCCCCCACCCCCTCCCCTTCTCTCGTGGCCCGCCGCGACACTTCTCTTCTTTGCCCAGCTGCACCCCCCTGAGCTGCCTGAGCGCTGCTCCCGGGGCAAGCTGCCCCCCCCCCCCCCCCCCCCCCCCCCCCTTCTTGTGATGCCACTGGTGTACATGCATCCTTTTTGAGCACCGCCTTACCTTTTTTCAGTGTCGGAGTGTCGTGTTGCCGATAACGAACACAGAATGCGCGCGTCTATCGCAGTTGGCTTTGGCGCCGGGAAAGGGCGAGTACGGCAGTGATACCCTCGACCCTTCCCTGATACTGGGGAATTGTAGTAGACCGTTTCCGCAGCCCGCTAAGCACCCGGATAGCGCTCCGTAATCCGCCACAAGGCCTTGAACTATGCAGAGAAGGCTGGCGGGGCGCATGAGCAGCTGCGGTGTTTGCTTCCGTTCACACTCTTGCAACCGAGAGCGACCGAGAAAAAAATTGGCTTGCTCTTTATGGAGATGCGCCTCAACGGGTAATCGGTCCCTTAGCTGTAGATGAGAAATTTAGCCAGTGCGGTACAACCGCTAACCTGGGATTTTTAACGTGCATCACGCAGTAGTGATCACACGAACGCGTGCCGGTACGAAACTCATCCAGATCGAAACGGGCGGGGGCGGCGGGGATCGAACCCAGAAGGTTCCCAGCGCAAGCTTTCGCTCCACGCTCCGAGCTGAGACGCGAGCCCACTCGCATCCGGTTCTAAGAAGTCGCAAAAGGCTTAAAACCCGGTCTGGTCTCTCTCGGTCGAAGTCGGTCGCAAGAGTGTGAACGGGACTTAAAGACTAGCGAAGGAAAAAAACACTGATAGAATAGTCGCTGTTGAGGCTGAGCGCATTCGGCCAATCACGATTGCGCTGGGGGTCATGTGATCGCGCTCCTCGCCACCTGCTGTTCCTCGCCTTCGGACGCAAGAATGGGATGGCCGAATCATACGCTGGCGCAAGCAGCGGTTGTTCAACGGTGTAAACGCACCCGAGAGAGAACGTCGTCAATGTGTAGGAGCCGACAATCCCACCGTGGGTGTTAGGGTGGAACACATTCGACGTCAGGATCAAGATGTACGTGAACATGAAGCGCCACGTAGAAGAGAATGTAACCGAGCGAAGAATGGACACGCTGGCGCGACCAAGGGATTTGTGCAGGGTGTCCGTGAGAGCGTGTTTGGTGCTAGCTAGCTGCTCTGTGTCATCAGTTGTGGTTTATGCGAGACACCGCGCGACGCAACATCACCGTAATTTCCAGTCAATCACGATGCGATATCATCGAAATGTCGCACCACTGACGCTGTCCATTCGCATCACGTAATGTAATCGTCCACCCATTTTTTTTTCTTTTTACTGATGCACCTAATTGGTGCATCATTCTTAGACTAATTGTTTCAAGTCTTAGTCTTTATGTCTTAAGCTGCATATAAGTACAACTCTGAAATATAAGAACTGCATAATGTTGTAAAAAACACGCAATTTAGATTAATTTAGTTGTCATCAGCTGGAAGTTAGAACTGACATCAAAGGTATTTGAAAGCAGCTGTCGTCACTGACAAACTGAAAACAACAGGGCGTGTCTTTCGAACGCCCAAACCCAATCACGTGCACAATGCCTTCCGTTGTGCTTTGGCTGCAAGCGCGCCGAAGCGTTGTTGAAGACACTGAAGCGCCTGCCTGCCGTTCTCACATTGTCAGTGACTACAGCTCCATATTACTGATAATGCCAACTTGTAAAAAAAAAAAAAAAGGATACGTTTTGATACAAGTTTTGTTTTCTGGACATAAGTTCATTATCACCTTCGATAATATATCTAATCTAAACACGATGCCCCCTTTTTTTTCTTCCTATGACAGTGTTTTCCACTGTCCAGTATCTACCTCCTGAAACCCCTGCTTTATTGCTTCCTTGTTTGAACTTGCCTTTACCTTCCAGAGTTGCACCCGCACTTCCCATTTTCCTTCCACTTTCCCTTCAGTTTGGTTAATGTTTCACCGTTTCAACAACTTTAGTTAGTGTTTCAACAAGCAACCAAACCTTCCACTGTACAGGTGCAACCACTGTCGAGACCCTGGTATTTATGCTTGCCCGAATGGCCCTGACAATGGCTTACAATGTGGGCTACCTGCACGCTGCCGAGGTTTACCCGACGGCTGTACGGTCTCAAGCCTTATCCGTGCGACAAGCCTTCGGGTCTGTCGGAAAATTCCTCAGCTCACAGGTGACACAGCTGGTGAGTTCACTTATACTTGCGCAACAATGGCCTTCTTATGCAAGCAATGAAGTCTCAATATTGATGAGCTCATTCATGGCTAGGATGACCATATTCATCAGAGTAAAAAACGGGAAAGCGAGGCAGGGGTAAAGCTCTGCTGTACCATTCGGCTCAACGTAAAAACGCACATTTTGGTTCTTCGTCTGGAACACCAGTGCCATTCTTTCCCACTTTTAAACAATGCGACAGAAATCTTGCTAACCAAAGGATGCATTTATTAATACAGGAAAATTATCCTATGCAATCAAAATATATTGACATATGCAACCACAGGAAGGCTACAAAGGTGCTCCATAAAAGGTAAAATTTTCATGCTGTGTGTTTATTTTAATAAAACTATGTCGGTAACAGCAACAATGCACGTTCCCACGAAAGCAAGACAGGAGATTTCATTGTGACAAAATGACGGGATGGCAGAAATTAACCCAAAAAAAAACAAAAAAACTAGACTGCCGCGGCCAAAACGTGACGCCTGGTCACCCATTCATGTCAGCAGTTTTGAAAAATTGTTTTCTAGATTTTCAGTTGGTCACACAGCTTGAAATCCTATGCCTAATAAATACAAGTACGACCAGTGATAAAATTATGGAAGAAAAAAATATATATATATATATATTGTGAACGATGAGAGAAGAGAGTGATTATTGAATTTTATTGCATTGATGTTAGGGGAAGGGAAAAAGTTGGCGAAAAATTGGGCCAGAAGCGGATATCGAATCCCGGACAGGCGAAGGTTGCGGGTTCGATCCCCGCTCCTGGCCCAATTTTTTGCCAGCTCTTTCCCTTTCCTTAACATTAATGCAATAAAATTCAATAATCACACTCTCCCCTTTTCGTGCACAATTATTACTACGGCTGCACTTGTCAATCTTCCCCAACTCCCATTACAAAGACAAGGTATTTCACGAA